GTACTGTATTGGGGTCTCTAATAGTCACGACGACTTCACGCTGCGTCTGAGAAGAAGGCATTCTAGGAACTTGTGTATTCGATGTACCTGCTAGCGTCGCGCCCCTCGCTGCCATCGCAGCATAGCTGAGCGCGCCACCTGTCTGTGGTCCTGCATTTTTGATCCGTCTTGCCATCTCTAGGCTGGCTTTACCTACCTCTGCCGCCTCCTTGGCTGCTGTCTTTGCTTCCTCTCCAGCTCTTATGTTCAGTTGTACGTTTGCAGCGATTGTGTGGACAGTGTCGGTTGTATTTTTAAGTTCGGTCTTAAGTTCTTGTTTGACGGCGTCGAGCATTCGCGCGGTGTTGTCCGAGGTCGCTTTGGCCTCGGTTTGCAGGATGCTAAGCGCGTCGCATACCGTGCTGAGGTCGGGGGCGTGTTGCACTTTCAGTATGAATGTCAGGGTGCCATGGATAATGATCTTGACAAGGTCTGCCGGTACGGGCTGGCTTTGAGTGCGATCGATGCAGGTCAGCGCGTCCTGAAGGTAGGTGCTGAGTCGTGTAGCGTGCTCGCGGAATGGTGTTGGCCATGCGGGCTGCTGAGGCCACGGTGTCGCCATGGCACGTCAGTCGCAGTGGGCGCTACGGCTGAGTGCTGGCTAGTCAATTGGCGTCAAGAGCGAGCGTTTGAGTGCGAAAAAACGACTGAATTCCAAAAATCAAGTTCTCGCTGTGTGTGGTGTTTTTTCTCAATTGATTGATTGATTGATTGATTTAGTCCTACTCGGTTTCAGCCGCGTTTTCACCGCAGCTATGCCCGGCATGGCTGGCGTAGCCAACAGCCGACGCCGCGCAGACGTTAATCCGCGCCGCCCCACGTCACTCCCTTATGGGAGCCAGCTGTTCCTAGAGGCCTGCCGTTTCCCCTCCACCACTATCTACAATCTGGCTGCCACCTCATCTAGATAATGGCTCTACTAACAGTATGCTGTGCTTATAGGTTCGTAGAGGCGTGCTGCCTCATGTTTTGCGGCCGCGATACCTACAGTCTCCCCCCAGCGCTCGGCTGTCGTCTACGCGTCTTCGATCCCAACATGCCCAAGGATCTGCGCTTGTTCTACAAACTGGATGGCTTTGGTGGCTAGCTGTGGCTTACTTAGGATAGCCCGGAGGTTGTTTCGTCCACGGAGGTTGCCGAATACCTGGTTCCGGAGGTCCTTAAGCGTCCTGCAGTGGAGCAGGATGTGGGCGACAGTCTGTCGCCTCTCCCCGCACTGGCAGCGGGGGCTGGTAACCCCTGGCACTCTTTGGGTGAAGAGAAAGTCGCACAGGCCTATCTTCTCGGTGCGCAGCTGCACTAGCAGCGCGCTCTGTCGTTTAGTAAGGCCTTCGTGGATCTGAAGTACTTTCTTGGAAGGCCATGGTGTGTGTCTGTAGGTTGCTCGACCTTTCGCCTCTGCTCGCCACTTGGCTGCCCACGCTCGCTCTGTTTGAGTCCTGCACCAGCGTCTGACGGTCGATCTGATTGGGTAGAGCCTGGGCGGTGCGTCTGCTGGCGGGTGTCTGCGGCCGTCCTCTCTCCATCCTGTGGCCTCTTTGGCGGCCCTGTCGACAGCTTCGTTTCCTGGGATGCCGGTGTGGGCTGGGATCCACCTTATTGTCACTGGCCGGTCCATGTCCTGGAGTGTCTTGACCTGTTCTGCAATGTCTGCGAGAATATATGCTCCTGATCGGCCTTCAGCCTTAGCTACTGACCATATGGCCGCCTGGTTGTCTGTGTAGATGGCTACCTTCCGCCTCTCACCTCCTCGCTCTGCGTACTCTTGTGCTATTTGCAGTGCGAGGCTGATGCCTTGTAGCTCGGCAGCGTAGACTGTCGAGTCCGTGTCTGGCCCCATGTGTACTGTGCGGGTCTGCTGTGTGAGTGGGCATACTGCTGCAGCCCCAATCTCGCCATCTATGCCGCTGCCGTCAGTGTAGATGCTAAGGCTCTGGTCCTTCTCATGTTCTCTGTCGTGTCGACTACGTGCTTTGTCGGCGCTCTTGTCTATGTGGGTCTTTGGGCCGTGTCGCCAAGGCGGAGTGATGAAGGGTGGAATTGGCTCCTGCATCTCGAGATCTTGTCTGCGCTGACCCTTCATATCATCGTATATCTTCTGCCAGGAGTCGACGTGTCTAATGCGGCGTATGTTTACGCTAGCGGGTTGTGTTCTGCTCACCTTAAGGTTTGAAATGTATGCCATGTGCTTGCTCGAGAGAAGCCGAATGATAACGTCGGCGTTGTGCTTCCATATCTGCTGCTCAATTGGCAGGAGGTGTGCTTCGACGTCGAGTGCTGCTTTGGACGTGGCTTTATATGCTCCGCATATGGCTCTTGCTGCTCTTGCCTGTATGCTTTGCAGGATGTTGAGTGTCTTCTTCGTGTATATTTTGCCCTTGACACTGGCATTCGACCAGATGGAGCAGGCATACATCATCTGTGGCAGCGCTGTGGCCTCGTACAGTCTCCGCATGTCTGCAAGCGTGATGCCCCACGTCGAGCCTCCGAGGCAGCTGAGCGCGCTGACCGTCTTTGTCGCCTTGCGTCTGGTCTCTTCCACATGTTCTTTCCACTGCAGCTTCGAGTCCATAGTTAGGCCTAGATACTTGCACGTTGGCTTAGGCGTCACCTCGCCCCAGCTGGTCTGCACTGTTCTGCTTCTGTTGATGCGTGTGCGTGAGCGTGTGAAGTGAGTCAGCTGGAACTTGTCTGGTGCGAAGACCGAGGCGTGAGTGATGGCCCACCGCTGTGCTTTCTCGAGCACGCGACTTAGTGTGCTGCATGTCTCTGCTGCTGTGTTGCCCCATGTGAGGATAGCCACGTCGTCTATGTATCCTGTGGACGTTGTGTTGGCTTCTCTGTTGCACTCGTCTATGAGATCGGCGTTGTAGAAGAGATAGAGAATGGGCGAGAGCGGCGAGCCCTGTGGTATGCCCGTGTTGATTGCGTACTCTTGTGATGTGAAGCCATCTACTGCGATCCTGGTGTGTCTGTTGCTGAGAAAGCTTGCAATCCACTTGACTGTCTTCTTATCTACTCTTCGCTTCCGTAAGTTATGGAGCAGTCGTGGGTGCGAAACGTTGTCGAAGGCGCCCGAGACATCGAGCAGCAGAAGACTAGCTACCTGGCCGTCGCCTTTGTTCCACGCCTGGTAGATCCTGCTTGTGACAGCATGCAGTGCGTGTTCAGTAGAGCGCATTCTCCTGCCGCCCATATGTGTGTTGGGCAGCACGTGCTTTGTTTCAACTAAGTGGCTAAGTCGTCGGGCAATAACAGCATCCATGACTTTGCCGACTGTGTTAAGTAGCGCGATCGGCCGGTATGCTTTGGGTACGGTGTAGTTGTCTTTGCCTGGCTTGCGCAGGACGACCGTGGTCGACTCGCGAAAGTGAGAAGGGCAGTATCCTAGGCGCAGGCTGCAGTTGATTATTCTTGTGAGGTGCTCGGTAATCAGCCTCTCTCCTACCTGTAGCGCTCGATTTGCTATACTGTCTGGCCCAGGGGCCTTGAAAGGTGCTGCTGCACGGATCGCGTCTCTCACTTCCTTTTCCGTTACTGCGGGGAACTCGATCTGGCCGCTGTACTCGGCGTCCTGTATGTCTGTCAGGTCTGCTGCTGGTGGGGCGGGGAAGAAGACATCTCGGAACAGAGTTGCTTTATCAGCTGGCTCTGTGACTTCGTGTTCTGTCGTTGGGTGTCGTATGGCAGGTGTGACCCTAGGGGCCACACTGCCTCTTGTCTTGGCCCAGGTTGCGAGCTTCCACAGCTTCTCTGGCGACTGCGCTGCCTCTTCTACTCTATCTCTATGCATCTGAGTCATTGCTTTGCGAATTACTCTAGCTTTGTGGTTTCTCGCTTCTCGATACGCTTGCCACGTCTCTTCTGTGCCGTGTTGGCTGTGCCGCCTTTTAAGCCTCTTCGCCTCCGCTAGTACTGTCTTGCATTCCGCCGTCCATCCTTCTCTTGCCCGAGCTGAGATGCATACCTGCGGAGTCGCCTTCTCTGCTGCTGTCTTAATAGCAGTAGTCACGTCGCGGACGTAGTTGTCGAGTGCTAGTTTAGTCGTTGGCCTGCGTAGTGGTGGCAGAGTCGCTTTTAGGTCTTCTAGGTACGTCTTCTCGTTCATGCGCTTCCAGTTCCTCTTTGTCGTCTCTTGCATAGATTGCACCGCCATATCGAGCACTGTGCTTATCGGTAGGTGGTCAGAGTCGTGGTCGAGGTCGCGGTCTACCTCACTTCTGATCATCCTGTCGACGAGGCCGATAGTGACGAGGCATAGATCGATAGTAGTCTGCCGTGCCGCTTCTTCGTATGTGATTGTTCCGGTCGCTAGCGTATTGCTAAGGTCAAAGTCTTCTATGATTGCTATCAAGTCTTCTGCCTGTGGGTCAATGTGTCTAATGTTCTGACCTCCCCACAAAGGGTGATGCAGATTGAAATCGCCTAGCAGGATCTGCTCATTGCTGTTGTGCTTCTCGAGGACTGCGCGGATGTCTACAAGCGTAGAGCCTGTGGGACCTCCACCTCCTACTGCATTGTAGATGTTGTGGATCGCCACACTCTGCTGCTCTTGTTGGTCCCTGCTAGGCTCAATGACGAGAGAACAGACGTCTCTCGAGTGTTCCTTGAAGCGCCATCTATTGTGGTCAATTCTCTTGTTGACGAAGAAACAGACCCTCGCTGGGCCTTCTTCATCTGCTGCCGTCGGATAGCAGAGGTGGAAAACGTCCTTTGCTGGGTGGTGAGTGGTCGCCATGTACGGATTCCTCCATGGCTCCTGTATGGCCAGAATGTCGTACTCGTGTATCCGGGGGTCTCGCAGCAGCGTCGCCATTACTATATCCCTCGACTTGCGTACGTTGTACTGTAGTATGCTTAGTGTGTTGTACTGATTCATGCTTCTGTCTCGCAGTCGATCTCCATGTGCTGGGTGTTGCTTTGAGTCAGCTGCACGTTGGCGCTGATCGCCTCTAATGCTCTGCGGCTCGGCATAATCGTTCTCTGTGGTCGCTGACTGCTCATCCCTGCCGGCAACGCGTTCTCCTGGTCTGTCGTATCGATTGCAGTTCCTGTGTTGGTCCGCTTCTGTCCTCGTTGAGCCTGCGACCGGCTCCTTGTGGGCTGCGTAGGCTGTATCGGCGCTGTGTTTTGACTAGACCTGCTTCTGAGGATAGTAGTAGGCATTTCGGGCTGTACGTTTCTTCCCCTCATCTCCGGTACGAAGTGATACTGCGGCCGCGTGTCGTAGGCCATCTTCGCTTTGGCCATCTCGTCCTTCCTAGTAGGGCATTGTCGGCTCCACGCTTCGTGCTCGCCGCGGCACAGCGTGCACTTCCTGGCTATGGTCCGGTCTGACTTGGCTGGACAGTCTCGGGTGTCGTGCTCCTGCGCACAGAAGCCACATGCTGTTGCTGCCTTGCACTGGGTTCCTATGTGGCCGTATTTTTGGCACTTGAAGCACTGCTTCACGCGGCATTGTCGCTCGTATCGCTCGCACTGGAACACCTCGCCCTGCCAGACAAGACCCTCGTCAATAATTTTGTTGGCGTCTTCTGGTCGAGTAAACTCAATCGTGATGGTCGATGCAGTCTTGGCGGTAGCGTCTCTAGTTAGCCATCCTATGTGGCGGATCTCAGCCTGCGGGATGAACGGTCTGTTGTCCTGCAAGATCTGGCTTCTGTTGTCTTCGAACCTGTCCATGTTCATTGTGCTAGTGCGTATGCCGTGGGCGAGCACGCCGTACGTCGGGATCTGTATGCTGGCGCCGTGGCCGATGCGCGCGGCCCAGTCGTCTGCGAACTGCCGTAGTGCTTCGACCTCGGTGCTGGTGGCTGCCTTGACGCTGAGGTCGCCGCTTTTGAGCTGGTTAGAGGAAACGATCTTCACGCCTACAATGTTCTCATTGCCGCTCTGCTCAATTGCACGCTCAACGTGGGCTTTAAGGTTACGTGGGTTCATTGCCCGCAAGGCCTGCACAGTGAGTGGATCTCTAATGTTCACGATAACCTCACGTTGTGTTTGCACGATAGGTGCTCTACGACTCTGTGTATTGTATGTACCTGCTAGTGGAAGGCCTCTTGCTGCTGCCGCAGCGTACGATGTTGGCCCGTTCGTCTGCTGCTGCTGTGGTGCTTTGTTCTTGATCTCTCTTGCCATTTCCAGGGTAGCCTTGCCCACTTGTGTCGCCTCTTTGGCTGCCGCTCTCGCCTCTTCTACTGTACTGGCGTTCTGTCGCATGTTGGCAGCTACTAGTTGCACAATATCTACGGTGTTCTTAAGTTCGCCCTTGATCTGGTCGAGGGCTTGCGCGGTCTGCTCTGCGTTGGTTTTGGCTTTAGTTTGTGCGACTGCGAGGGCGTCGCGGACTGTGTCCAGGTCAGGCGTATGTTGCGTTTTTAAGACGAGCGTTAACGCGCCGCGGATTACATCTCCGGCGAGGTCTGCTGGCACGGTCTGGCTGCCGTTGCGCTCGATAGCCTCCAGGACGTCGTGAAGAAAGGTGCCGAGGGAAGTAGCATGCTCGCGTAGCGGGGTAGGCCATGTCGCCCTTCGCGGCCACGGCGTCGCCATAACGCTTCAGTGGCAGTGGGCGCTGCTTCTGAAGTGCTGACGGGTCGTAGAGCGTGTCAGGCTAACTTTTAAGTGCGATATACTGCGTTGATTCCAAGGATTGCAATACTCGCTGTTGTCGTGTTTTTCTTCTCTTGAGTATTAACTCGTATAGTGTCGCTTTCTGGCGGCATTCTTAGTAAGCTTCTTACTAAGCTCTTTCTTAGTAAGCAGCTAGGTGGTCTGTGTCTTTTTGTTTTCGTGAGTGAAACGTGTTCGAATTAGCTACTTTACCAGCTTCTAGCTCTGTAGCGCGTAGGCTGCACGACTTGGCACTAGTTTTAATCGATTTCTTAGGATGGATTTGTATATATTTGACTAAAATTACACCTGTCTTACTAGTTACTCAACTTCACAAGATTGATACTTGTTAGTCTATTCGATATAGATTAGGAATTGTTAAACCTATTGTTATCTATCTTACAAGCACGCCCACTCCACTGCATCGCCAGACAACTACCTCACGGCGCTATTTACATATCCTTACTCGCCCTAACCCGGATCGAGCTTAGAGAAGTATCAGCACCCAACCCCGTGTAACACTTTAACCACCCACGGATTCAGTAGACTAGACGGATTAATAGTAGGACGCCTAATTAAGATTCAAAATGGTATATAATTACTTAGGATCTTAAGGCAGCGCTAGTGGACTAGTCTAGGGTCCCAGACTAGTGCTAATCTAGTACTCGACGACGAGATGC